CCACCTAGTGAAGTGATTTTAACCTTTGTGATTTTGCCCACCTATATTAGTCATGAATACGTGCCCTTATCTCCACGTGATATATTGAGCACTTTTCCTGATTAGGATTAGGATATATCCCATACCAACTTGACACCAAGCTCTGTATCTCGTCCAGGACGCTGCAGATCTAGTAAATTACGAAGATTGTTCAAAGAAACACTCGAAGCTTGTTTGGTCCTTCCCGAGGCCGATAAATCCTAACTTCAATGGACAAGACAAAATTGCTCCCATTGCCCAGGAGTGTCAAGTGGCCACATATTGACCGTCAGGCAGGAATTGTGTTGTGAACACAGCTGCCAAGTTCTTGTTTGTCCCTGGGACCTTGTTTGCCCAGCAAATAATATCGTCCGTGATGAATCACGAACCATATCGGATTTCCAGACAGTGTGGAAGATCTGTCTCCTGCTTTCGGTCCTTGCCAAGTTTGTCTGAAATGTTGTGACGCGACCCCCGACGAGCCTTAACCTTACCCAAAAACATGCAGAGCAATACAACCACGAACTCGAGGAAGGCTGGATACCTTGGGTACAGAATGCTTCTCTCGGGGTTGATCTTGTTTACACATGGCCCGATCTTTCTGAATTTTGCCGACTATGTGATGTCACTGAGAGCCAAACTCTTTCTCTCATGCAGGTGCCCTCACAGCTCCCTCAATCAATTAACACATTGTAGTGAAATTCGCTTGATACCATTAGTTCTCTGGTTGCTTGCATACTTTTCCTCGACCTCTGTTCTAGATTTGCTGGCGTACAACATGCTTATATCGTTCCCCTGCAGGAATGCGGTCCAACTACGGAGTAAAGCGGGTGCCAAGACGGAAAAAGCGTCTACTTCGAGGACGAGGTTCGATGAAACCAAGTGACCCTCCATTTGCAAAGAACCACAGATGGTTCGGGCTCCCTAACCAAATTACAATATCATTCTAAAAAAGAGCCAATTAGCTAGAAGTCGCCCCGTCGAAAAAAGGACCCTTCCCTTCAGAATCTGGACGCAGGGGGAATTCAAATCAAACTCCGATCCTTCGGGCAGAAAGGACCAAATCGACGGTTGGAAAAGTCGTGTTTCACTCGATGATATATCAATTTATCCACCGTATTACGCGAAACACCGCATGCCATCATGTTAATGGAGAATGTTGGTTATTCCATCAAGAGCTGTACGCGATTAGGTAGGGGAAAAACCAATATCACACACATCTGTGTGCCTGTCTGCTGTGCGGACGACCCTACCCCAGTCCTAACTGTCAAGTACCGTTGAACGTTCCATTAGAGTACAGGAAGGTCGAAAATTTTGCGCGCAAATTCCCAAGTGATCATATATGTTCACATCTGCGTTCTCAGCCATGTCTCAGAAACATTTCATTCCTTTGAACGTTCTTTATCGCCACCAGCTGATAGAGCAGAAGTTGGATCGTTATCCGTCCTGCACACTTTGTGATTTTGTATGCCACATAGGGATTGTCTTATGTTGATCGTTCATAACTGTTCCTCCTGCAATCATGAAAACATGCCACCTAATAATTTCATCAGACTCTGCAACTGTTGGATACGTCCGCCTTTAACCTGCACGTTTGATTGGATCCAGGTGAGTCGATTAGAAAAAAAACCGTCCCTTTGATTTCCTAGACTCGAAGCTACATCGGAAGACATCGAATAACATCGGGTAGCTGCTATGGAGGCCCCATCATAACTGCAAGAACTACACGCTTCACTACCAAGCTTGTGTCAATAGTATCACCCTACTATCCTGAACGGAGACGTTTGAGACTACGGGCCAGGCGGGAGACCAGTACAGATCTTCACGCGAGTATTCTGCCAAACCACGATCGACATCTAGACTGACTCGGACGCTTTACTTCGTCATTAACCGTCACTCGTAATCCCTCGGCCCGGTGGAAGATTAATACCAGGATGACGCTGATAGATGCACAATCTACATTGCATGATTAAGGAACGAATCTACAAGGGTCATCCTCGTAATTGCATTTGCGAACTTGCCAGAAGCCTGCTTTTGTGGAGACTTCAATTCCTAATCTCGACCCTCATCCTCATCCGCTTCCATACGCCCACAACCTTTCAACTAATATTATCAATGAGACGAATAACTATGTTCTGCACTCAGATCCTTTTAGGTTGTTCATATACTTTCATTGCTAACTATATTGAGATATATCAGTGTTCACAAGACACCGACCTTTCCTGACCATCTCATGGAAATGAAAGTGACAGATGCTAAACAAAGCAACTAGGATTTATTGTCGCGCATGGTGGTGATTGCGTTACAATGCTCTGGTAATTGAAAGGGCTAACGTATAAAGACACTAGAGACTGGCTATGCAATATATGACAAGGGATTTGACGCATATACCTTTCTGTGTTCCCAACA